TTTTTCTTATTGAATTTTTTTTCAAAGGGGAAGGTTGACAATACCTTGTTTATAAAATACAATTGTAAAGATTTATTAGTAGTTTAAATTTATGTTGATGATATAATTTTTTGTTCTACTAATGACGTTCTTTGCCAAGAATTTACTAAGCTAATGCAAGGTGAATTTGAGATGAGCATGATGGGGGAGCTTTCATTTTTCTTGGGTCTCCAAATCAAGCAAAGAAAATATGACATTTTCATCAATCAAGCAAAATACATCAAATATATGCTCATGAAGTTTGGATTGGAAAACGTGAAACCCCAAGCCACTCTATGAGCTCATCTACAAAGCTTGACAAAGATGAAGAATGTAAGTGTGTTGATGTTAAAATTTATAGGTCTATGATTGGATCTTTGCTTTATATTACCGTAAGTAGACCGAATATTATATTTAGTGTTTGCTTATGTGCTAGATTTCAATCATGTCCTAAGGAGTCTCACTTAGAAGTTATTTAGAGAATCTTTAGATACCTTAAGGACACTCCTAGCATATGACTTTGGTATCCTAGAGACTCTAGCTTTAGCTTGCATGCTTTCTCGGATGCGGATTATGGAGGTTTCAAATTAGATAGAAAAAGCACCTCCGATACATGTCAATTCCAGTAAATATGATAATTTCTTGGTTTTAAAAAAATAGTGTTGCACTATCTACCACCGAAGCGGAATATATTTCTGTCGATAGTTCTTGTGCACAAGTTATATGGATGAAACAACAATTTTTAGACTATGGAATTGATGTGGGTACCATTCCTATCAAGTGTGACAATACTAGTTCTATTTGTCTCACTAAAAATCCCATCAAACATTCTAGAGCTAAGATATAGAAATTAGATATCATTTTATTAGAGATCATGTCTAAAAAAACATAGTTCTAGAATATGTAGATATTATGCATCAACTAGCTGACATTTTTACAAAACATTTAGACAAAGAAAGATTTTGGGCACTTAGGAGAGAATTAGGTCTAACCAACCTACCTTGACTTTGTGCTTAAATAATTTATGCACTTTTATGATTTTATAACAAATACATGCAAAATGACTTCTTTAATGCCTTCTATACTATTAGTTAGGGAGAGTTTATGATGTTCATGATAATTAATAATATGTTCAAATTATGCTTAAATATGTATTTATTTGCTTGAACATATTTGCTTTTCCCAATTAAAGTTGCCTACATCACTATTTATGCTTTAAAATATGCATCCTATTTGTTTCTGCTGCATTTTTGAACTATTCTGTGCACTTAGTATCAGTACTATTCATCCAGTACTGACACTATTCTTTGTCAGTATCGATATTGTTCTTCAAGTACCGATACTATTCTTGCAGCCTCAATAGGGTACGATACTCGATATCGATACCATCAAATTTTTTCTTTGAAGTATCTATACTCCCATTGGAGTACCGATACTCCAGGTTGGGTGTAGGTTATAATGCCCTAAAATCTCATTTTTCTTCCTCACTCTCTAAAGCTCAGTCGAAAAACCTCCCTGACCTACTTCAAAAATTTACTTCATTTTATCGTTTTGAAGTCATTTTTGCGTTGATTTTCATCATTCCAACTTTCTAGCATCATCAAATTCATGCATTCATCATCAAATTCCATCTCAATACTACTCTTCAAGGTAATTTTTTTTAAATCCTAACTTTTTTCTTTTCGAATTTAAACATATTTTTAGTTAGTTTTTGCGCAAATTAGTGAATGAACTTTAGTTATTTTGTATTTCTACACTATAATCTACATTATTTTTAACCAAAATTCTTCAAATTCGAAATTAAAAAAAATTACATACTTATATACACATTATATATATATACTTTTGTTTCTCTTAACACTATTTTCCTTTTGGCCCATTATATATATATATATTTAAAATTAATTTAGTTATATAATGCCTTGAATTGTGGACTAATATTGAGTTTTGGTATTAACTGAATGCATTATATATGTATTGTCTTTCTTTGTAGGTTTTACCTTTATCCTTACTTTTACCATGTCTCACAAACGTCCACGATCATCTTCCTCTCGTGCTAATCCACCTCCTAGTCCTCCGTCGAATCCTAATCCCAATCAAAATGAAATTACCATCGTGAATTAGTGTTTTAATGAACCAAATTGTTTCAATCTGTATTCACGATATCTCAACCATTTCGAATTGTATGCTCTTAGGGGTGAGCGTCTTCCTTCAATTTCGGCAATGAACGCCATCAATTTTAAATAACTTCCCCTTCTTAAAGCTTGGAAATTTGATAACACGTTCAAAGTCAAACTCGTTGTCTATCACCAACTCATCCTCATTTTCTATTCTAATGCGGTTTGTGTCCAAAATGAAGCTCGTACTCATACAGAAAGTATTCGTTCCTATCTCTTGGGTGAATACATTACTATTGATTTCGACTCCATTGCTGTGCATTTGGCCTAGAAAACACCGGGATTGATAACGAGCGAGACACCATCCCTTCCAACTTAGAAGTAGGGAAGAGCGCAAACATCATTGACTTTCATGAGAGGATACTTCACTTGATTATCTCTTGGTGGTTTCGACCATTGAAGGCAAATATTCCTCTTTCCGAAGCATTGACATAAGGTGCATTTATTGTTTTCAAGAAAATAAAAGAATTAATCTTGCTCAAATCATCTTCGGTGAACTACTGGACACCGTGAACCATATTCCTTCTAAGAGGATTGAATCTCTGGTTTATGGATGTCTTCTTAGTAATTTCTTTATAAAAGTCAGTCTTAGAGTCAATATTGATATCCTCTTGGGTACCCAAATCGATCTACCTCTCTCTGCAAGTCGGGATGGACTCAAGTTAGAGACAATTGGGAAAAGAAACCAAAAGAGACGCCTGGTGCTAGTTTATCTCGAGCGGCTCTGACTCCAACTTTACTTCAGGACGATGATGTTTTACATGATGTTGATGATCCTGTTAATCGAGTTCCTAAGTGAGCCTCCTAGAGTGGGTGGTGAGATGCCTCCTTACTTTCTGTCATTGATGGAGACATTGGACTTAAGGTTTGCCTCTATGGAGTCCCACTTTACTGCCTTGGGGTCTCAGGTATCCGAGATAGTGTCTCGGCAGTTGGCATTGCAAGTAATGCATATGGATTCCCGACGCGACATCCTAGCTCGATTCGACGTGGTGACGGATAGGCTCGATGCTCTCTCTCGAGACTTTGATTCTTTCCATGCACCTCCTTCGGATTCTGATCCTCTGTCGGATGCTTGATGTTTTTGCTTTGCCAATTGTATTTTCGTTGGTGTTGCAATGTCATACTTTGAACTTACATTTTCATTTGAATTTCTTAGCCTTTGATATTTTGGAATTGGTAATTCTTTTATGTTTTGGATTATCATATATATATATATATATATATATATATATATATCATATTTCACATGTTTCCAACCATGTTTCCGTTTGTTATGACAATACCCATTGTCTTTTGGATATTAATTATGTTGACTAACTTTTTTGGCATATTGTTCTTCACATCTATATTATATATCTTGTTTAGTCTTAATTGTATCTTTTTTATTTAACAAAAAGGGGGAGAAATGTTAGAGTAAGGGGGATTATTTTTTATAAAAAAATCTTAAATTTTTTAAATGTTTTGTTATATAAAAAAGGGGATTGTTGAAAACACTTTAATATTTTGATATACCAAAAATTATTAAATAGTTTTTACAAATTTTAAGACTATATTCGATTCAATCATTCGAATATATAAATTATTCTTTAAAGTTAAAAGTCAATTTTATTCCTAATTTTACTGAAAATTTGAGTCATATACTGGAAATATTTTAAAAATAATTTTTACTAAGGGTTTCGAACTTTAATCAAGTCAAAAATGATTTTTAAGCATAGTATACCGATACTGCTAGAACAATCGATACAGATATCGATGTTGAAGCCTAAAACAATGAAGTAGTACGATACTGCTAAGACAGTACCGATACTGTCAAAACAAAATGCTAAAATGGTACTGATACTATATACGGTATCGATACTACTTAGTGTAGTAGTATCGATACTCTTAGCGGTGGTACTGATACTACCTTTTTTGTTTTGAATTCGTCAAATTCCAGTATACTAAAATGGTATCAATACTATGTACAATATCGATACTACAAAATATAGTAGTATTGATACCCTTGTGAGAATATCGATACTATAGTTTCCAACGGTTAAATTTTTATATTTAATGTAGGGAGTATCGATATTAAGAGATCGAATACCGATACTATAAGCTTCTGAGCAACATTTAATAAGGGAAACTGCCCCCCAACAGCTCTATTCACTCTCACAAAATGCAAACGGTTGGAATTGAATGATGAAGTATAAAACCAAGGTCCCAAGTCATTTATGAAGATAAGAGACAAAAAAGAAACCATAAACAACAAATTTGAGCCAAATCAAGTCAACATTTTTCAAAATTCTTTTTGTTTTCAAATAACACTTTGTATTCATTTGTATTTATTTTTCAAGTGTTCTTATTTGTTCTTGAATTGTGCAAACACATTTCTAGTGAGGATTTTATAAGTTTATAATTTGTAATTTTCTCTTTGAGAGGGTGTCTCAAGAATTGAGGGTATAATTATTGAGGAGTTGTATGGTTACACCTTATCCTCAATGGTAGATACAAATTAGTGAATTTTTGAAAATCCTTAGTATAGATAGCTACGGTAGTTAATATAGACTTTGGTTGATAAAGTCGAATCACTCTAAATTCTTGTATTCATTTGTTTACTTTCTCTCTCAAACTTTTACCAACTTTTTTAATTATAAATTCACCATCTATTAGTTATTTCATCATTTCAATTGACTCGACACTCAAGAATGCAAAGAACTATCTGGTTTAGCGTACGATGAACATGTAATTTTGTTTTACTTGCCAGTTGTCATCTTCCCGTGTCACACATCTGTTTGGCTTGGTTTCCAGGCAAAGATACTCATGGAGCCTGGATTCGATGGTCTTAATGATAACCAACACCTGCTGGTTGAGCAAACCACGAGATATCAGGAAAATGTAACTCCACCATTAGATGTTGTCCTGATGCTCCCAGTTTGCCAGATCAATGATTTAATAAGCAAGTGGTGGAAGATACGAACAGAGAAAAATATCTTAGACAGTTAGTTGAGCTCAAGGCTAAACGACATGCCATGGATGAAACTGACAAAGAAACAAGTACTAAGGATGGATGCTCATCTTGTCTTGCAACAGGTACAATAAGTGACATTGACGATGATCCTCTCAAGAGTTCTTACTCATACGAGACTGAAGAGGGTGGGGATGACAGAGACGGTGCTCTAACATCTTGTGTTGGTACTCGCTGGTTCAGAGCGCCAGAACTACTCTATGGATCGACGTACTATGGAATGGAGGTAGATTTGTCGTCATTGGGTTGCATTTTCTCAGAGCTTCTAACCCTTGAACCTTTTTTTCCTGGGATTTCTGACATCGATCAGCTCGGCAGAATCATCAATTTTCTTGGAAAATTGACTGAAGAAATCTGGCCAAGCTGTTCTAAACTTCCTGATTACAAAATAATTTCTTTCACCAAGATCGAAAATCCGATCAGTTTAGGAGCCTGCCTACCCAATAGGCCACCAGATGAAATCTCCATTGTGAAAAGACTTGTTTGTTATAACCCAGCTAATAGAGCTACTGCAATGGAGCTGCTGAATGACAAGTATTTCAATGAAGAACCTCTGCCACTTCCCATTTCTGAGCTGCATGTATCTCTTGCAATGAATGGCCATGATGAGGATTCACCAGGCGGGTGGAATGATTATGATGACATGGGATCCGAGACTGATTCCGGTGACTTTGGGCAGCCATTTTAAGGTCGAGACCACAGGCAGTGGCTTTTCCATACAACCTCGAGTTTGCTCTGTGTTGAGGTATATTGGATGCTTAGGTTATATGTTTCCATTTTGGTTGAGGTATAGTTATAAAGTTAAAACCCGAAATTAGAGATGAAGATCATGAATCTGTGAGAACTTAGTAAATAGGATTTCATAACATGGATTATGCAGTTTACAAATCATTTCACTTTAATTATGAGCCACGCTTTGCTATTAATCTTTGTACTATGCGTAAATTATACAATCGGGACTTATTCAGAACTCAAAATGACCTGAAACCGAAACTTAAAATGGTTATAACTCGAAGGTGTTTATGGGTCAAATTCACGTTGAGTTTATAACTTGAAAATATTTGTATAAAACCTGTTAATATCTGCAAATAATCCAAACTTATTATCTTAAAAAAGTTTTTAATTTAATATTTATATGTTTTCTTCTTATTAAAATTTAAACTCGCTGTTTAATGTTTACTCTATAATATATTACATGTATTTATATATTTAGTTTATACGTAATATAAATTACATAAAATATAAAATATTATAAAAATTTGATAAACAAGTTGGTTTTTTAAATAACAACAACAACAAAACCCTATTCCCATATACAATGGGATAAGAGAGAAGTGGGTAGTAGCTGCCGCCAACGTCAGATTGAGCAAATTGGTTTTTTAAATGTTAATCTTATTACGTGATTTTAATAATAAAAGAATTTTTTTTTTGAGATTTTAGATTTGAATAACACCACATCGCTCGTGGGGAACACCAGAGAGTTTAATGGAATCAGTTCAACGTTCAGAAACACTTCATACCCACACCTATGAATTCTACCCGTCAGATAAATCGTTTGAACATGAACTGTCGGATCCCAACTTCACACAAATCTCCACCATCCAATTGACTAAAATGAAATTGAAATTTCAAAAACTTAGCAAGCGAGAGGGAGGAGAAACGAGGGACGAAGAGAAGAAGAAACATCGAACCAAACACATTAAAAAAAAAGGTTCCTTTCACACCTTTGCTTCTCTTTTTCCATTATTGAAAAATAACTGCTTTACAGACCCTAACTCTTACTGTTGCTCTCTGTACTGTTCTTTAGATTATATCTCTCTCTCTATGCATCGATCGGATTCTGAATCTTCTCGATGTTTCGAAAGTTCGTGGTGGAAATCTCGAGCTTGGGGGAATCGAGGTTATTTTAATAATTTTGGGTTTTTGAGATTATAGATTGAGATTTGGACTTAAAAGTGTGTGAATTTGAGCTGATTTAAGGTAATTTGTGAGATTATTTGGTGGATTTTTGAGCTTTGGCTGTGTGGTGAAAATATATTTTTATATATTTTTTGAAATTGGGTTGGAATTGGATGGGGGAAGGAGGAGGTGCAATCCCGCCAAAAAATGTGCAATCGGATACGGCGGATTTTCCTGCGAAGAAGCTAGCAAGGCAGCTCGATTTCACTGCCGGTTTTGGCGGGGTTTCTTCTGGAGGTGTTAATTTTCCGGAACATCCGCAATCCACCCGAAGGATAGGTGTGCCTTCGTCTTCGGCTGCAGTGACTGTGCAGCAGCAGCAACAGATAAAGCCGCCAGTGGTGGCAACCACCTCTGTTGTCTCTGCGCAACCTCCTTTTACTATTGCCTCGGTCAGAGTTGTGTAAGCTTTTCCGATAAAAATTGTTGCTTCTCTTTTAGTTTGTTGTAATTATTATTACTTTTTCGGTGTTTGCTATTTCGTTAGTCCGTGTTTAACAAAATTTAAGCTCGTGTTTCTTTTCCTTATCGAGAGTGTAGCTTGTAAGGAACTATTGGTTACAGTATCCCCACATTTCCTGTCCTGTTTGACATTTTATTTTCTTATGCCTAAACACTAACTTTGTTGTATCAGTTATGTTTGCATCAAATTCTGTTTTTCCCCTCTGTAAGAAATGGGATTGTAGGAAAGTTAGTTATTTTTGCTTTAACAGAATAATGGAGCTTCTTTTGGGATGTGACTATTTGGAGGTTATTTGGTGTTTTTGTATCTGTCTCTCCTTTAAATTAACTTCTTTTTCCCTTTGATTTCTTCATCAAACATTGTTTTTGAATTAAGATATGAATCAATTGATTTTTTTGGAAATTGGTTTTCTCCAAGCTTTATCTTTCACCTTATGTAGCTTCTGTAGAGGGTTTCTTTTGATAGGGTGAGAAAATTATGCAAACTAGTAATATAAAATGTTGGCAGAGATTTTGAAGAGGAAGATTGAAGTAGATTTTGAAGAACAAATGCAGATAATTAAGGAAAGAAAAAAGTAGTTTGGGAAGATAAAAAGTGTGGTGGTTAGAATATTTTAGAGGGAAAGATGCATTCCTAAGAAAAAAATGGTTAAGAAGGAGGCTTCTTAACAATCTTCACTTCTCAGAAGCACTCCAGAAAATCCCAATGTGAAGTAAACCCAAAAATCCTGCCACTGATTTCAGGGTTAGCTTCACTGCTCTTTCTGCTGTAGTTATGTACACGCTACAGAATTTGTTTATGTTGCTACGTCACTAGGGAATGAAATGTTGCAGTATTGGAAGAGTAGATGCTAGAGCACTGTATTGTAGCACTGAAGCAGCAAACTCTTGGTGCACTAGACCCTGGAGTGCTAGAGCAGTGGAGTGTTGAAACACTGAGACCTGAGAGTGTTGAAGTACTGAAGTGCTGGAGGAGTGAAGCGTTGGAGCTCTGGATTGCTAGGGCACTGGAATCATTTTAAGTGTTGGAGCACTAGAGGGTTGGATTGCTGCCATTCACGAGCATTGGTAGCAAAAAGTGTTTTCATGAGTGAGCGTTGCTACCTGTACTTTCTGTCTAACCCAGTGGTCCTGCATGACATGTTAACAACTAAAATTAAGTATCAAAAGCTTCTTAGGCTCTGTACTGATTGTTTTCCGTTATTTCTGTCTAGAATCTAGTGCGGTGGTAGGATGTGAACATTATTTTTCTTGGACATTACGATGTTGGTCATTTTCCCCCTTTCTTACCTTTAATTGGAATGAAACTTGTCTTATACTCCTTCAGTTAATCTTTCTGTTCTTACACCCTTACCGATAATTTGTGTGACATTTATGGAAGTTAATTTATGAAAGCTTAAATGGTTTAAACAACTGCAGGAGATATGGGTTCAATGAACAGCAGGAGTGCTTTTAAAATATATCAGTTCTTTTGTAAAAAAAATAATATGTAAGTTATTTACCTGTCCTGTAGCTTTATTTTTTTCTTTATTTCTTGCTCACTTCAGGAAACCAGAATTCCCAAAAGCAAAACCGAGACCAAATGAACTAAAAGATGGCACTCCAAAGAAGCAGAAGCAGTGTAACTGTAAACATTCTCGGTGTCTGAAACTGTAAGTACATTGACTTTTATGCTCTTTTGGCATAATGAACTCTTCCACGATACAGTTCTACTCAGCTCTTGATGTCTTATTAACTGCTGTTGTTATTGTTTTGCTTGTTGGCTAGTAACAAATTTCTTAGACTTATCTGCATTGGGCTCTTTTTGCATGAAATTATAGATTCTGTATTAAATGTTTCATGTTCTAGAGAAGAAACTGGTTTTCTTCCTTACATGCAACTTTTATGTAGGCTATTATTGCCTAGACATTTTAGACAGTACTGTAGCAGTATTTGTTTTCTCTTATTCATTGTGTATGATTTTTTTTTCTGTTAGCCATTTTGTATGCGAACCGTAATCAATTTGTTTCATGGTATAAGATATAGAAAGTTAATTATGCAATGCCATGACTAGGTACTGTGAGTGCTTTGCATCTGGCATATATTGTGATGGATGCAACTGTGTTAATTGTTATAACAATGTTGAGAATGAAACCGCAAGACGAGATGCTATTGAAGCAACTTTGGAGCGCAATCCAAATGCATTCAGACCAAAAATTGCAAGCAGCCCACATGGCACACGGGATAGCAGGGTATGATGTCCGAACTTTTATTTCATTTTAATTCACATTTTACCTTGCTGATTTTGCACAATATTGATTCAACAGAAAGCCATAATTTTTTAGCTAATTTTTATCATGGAGATACCAATGTTCATATGCCTTCATTAAAATGTCTAGCAAGGGTAAATTTTTCGTTGCCTTTACTCATTGATGGGTGTTCGGAATATACCGAACCTTCTAAAATGGTATTCTTTTATTTAAATGTATGGCTATACATTTTATTTTTGTACGCAGTTGAAACATTTTTTTCTGTACTCTATCTGGTTAGATTCTTGCAAAGGAAAAGATCCAAGGGTGAGTAATACACTTTCAAGTTTCAACTAAATCTAAGCTTAATATTTATTCTATTAATTTTTCCTTTTTAATTAACTTTCATTTATCTTTGTTAATTTAAAATCGTTCTAATTTCTGCAGTAGATTTAGTTGGACGTGTATTACTCAGTAGTGGAAATTTTCACTACTTTTTTAAGTAGTGGTAAGGAGAGGATCATTTCCTTCATAAAAAATTATTTAACAAAATATAAAATTCAAAGTTTAGCATGAATGTCGTTATATGATAGAGGTTGCTAAATTGGCATTCTCATAGTAATTTGTATTGAATTGTTTTTAGGAAGAGGCAGGGGAAGTTTTAATTTTGGGAAAGCACAACAAGGGATGCCATTGTAAGAAATCTGGGTGCCTTAAAAAGTATTGCGAGTGTTTCCAAGCCAACATTCTTTGCTCTGAAAACTGTAAATGCCTGGAGTGCAAAAATATTGAGGGAAGTGAAGAGAGACAGGCTCTATTTCACGGTGATCATGCCAACAATATGGCATATATTCAGCGGGCAGTAAATGCTGCCATAACTGGAGCTATTGGGTCCTATGGTTATGCATCCACTCCTGTGTCCAAAAAGCGAAAAGGTCAGGAGTTCTTTGGGTCAACCGCCAAGGATCCAGCTGTTCCAAGTCTTGGAAGCTTTCCTCAGGTAAAATATCTTATTCATGAATATTTATTGACAAATGTATTGGAAAACACTTTTTATTTTGTTTCATTTACACTTTACGTGCCAGCTAGTTCTTCTCTTGTCTCAGTATTCTTGCTTCCCTTGTTACCATAATGGCTTTAACAAATTTACTTTTAGCTATGCTCTTAGAACTTACATTTGCTACTTCTTTTATTTGTTAATCAGCCACATCATATCAGAGCTTCTGCACCTTCCTCTTCCATGTCTTCATCAGTTTCTCGCTCTAGTACAGCTGCTGCCATAGGCCCTTCAAAATTTACATATAGGTAAATGGCGAGTCTTGATCAAAAGATATTTTTAGCCTGATTGTTCAGGAAACTAACTTATGGATTTTGGTGGAAGGTCCCTGTTAGCTGACATAATTCAAAAGCAGGACTTCAAGGAGCTTTGCTCTGTTTTGGTAGTTCTATCAGGAGAAGCTGCCAAAACACTATCAGGTAAATGGGAAACATTCAGATAACTGTCTAAACTTGTAGCATCTAATCCTGTCTTAGTTTAGTGCTTAAACAGTGAGTATTATCATGTATGATGATCAACTTATACTTGCTATGCCATTGCGTTCATCTCTAGCAGTTCATAGAAACAAATTTTATTTCCTTCTTTCAAATGAATACGTAGTATCAGCGTTTAAGTTTAGAGTTTAGACTTCTTTTGTCAATGAATAATGTATTAAAGCAGTTTTAAATATTGGCATTGATGCCGTTTCCGTAAATATTCTTGTATGTTAGACCGTTCTTGCCCGTACTTGTAAGAAATTATAGTTGGACGCATGATCCCACTAAAAGAAATTCTTTTGTTAGTTTTGAATTTGTTTTTAGCAAGTAACTTTTGAGTGAGTGTGAATAGGTTAATGGGTTTGCCACTAATATATTTAATGTTGTTCCTTCAATTTCTGCACACATTCAGATCAGAGAATTTTGACCAAAAATCGGACAGAAGATCATGCAGAAACTTCCATTGCATCATCCACTCAAGACAGGCTTCCGAACCAGAAGGATGTTGATGTCGAGAAAACCATGGCTGACAATGGTTCAAGTGCAAACCAGGCTGATAAAACTGGCCCTGAAGAAACCAGATCGGGTGGTGTTGATATGCCAAAGGGAAGGCCCATGTCTCCGGGAACTTTGGCATTGATGTGTGATGAACAAGATACAATGTTCATGGCCACAGCTTCTCCTAAAAGGAGCATGGGCCATGGCTGCAGCACATCTTCAAAATTGCCTTTTGGACAGCTCATGACTGAAATTTATGCCGAGCAGGAAAGAATTGTTTTGACAAAGTTCCGAGATTGTCTCAATAGGCTTATCACTTTCGGAGAGAGAAAAGGCAAGTTTCCATTTCCCTGTTATGAAAATTTGATTCATAACTAATTATATTGTGCATATAGAAAAAGAGAAACTCAAATGAGGAAACTATACCCAGCTTTCTAACACGAGTAATACATCAAGGAGAGGCAGAGTGGCAGAAAGTGAACTTCAATTTATGTCATCTACTTTATGGTGTATCATCTTTTTCATAATGCATAAACTATTGGGAATTGACATTTCTGCTCTATTTTGATCACAGAAACGCAATGTTCGTCATTAGCAAGAACAGACATTGGTAGTCAAAGAGGTCCCCCGAGCAATAGAATCGAACTGGGCAGAACCGAGATGGGAATTCAACAAGGATCCGATGCCAATGGAGCTGCAAAAAATGTCAGTCCACCCACGGTCAAGACATCTCAGATGGCTGCTGTGGTGGTCAACGCCGGCAATAATGATCTGCCTAGAGGTCCATCCCATCCTGAAAATGGGGATGCTGAATCAAAAACCGAAAAAACAGATGTAAAGATCCTAAATGCTGACAATCAGTCCAAGGTATGATATTGCAGTTTCTCTGCACTATTGCGAGTTTGCGACCCACCATTCACTCCACCTTACTCTTTGATGCAATATCAAAGTGATTGTGGACATCATTTTTGACACTGACCAGTGATTGAATTAATCTCTCCCATGTTTTAATTATTTATCGGGTTTTTTGCCTCAATGGCCATGCCCTCTCATTAATCCATTCTTTTTTTTAGCAAAAACATAGAGGAATTTTATAACTCTTGATGGAGTAGGTAGCTTAGACTTGTATCCAACAGAAAAGCTGATTGGTGCTTTAATTGGGAAGTCACGGTCTTGTCGTATTCATGCCATTCGCCTTAACCATTGATGTTCTTAATGTTTATATGTATATTATTTCTTCATTGAAATTAAATATTTTTCAAGTTCTTTCTTATAATACTATTGGCTGCATGCATATTTGCATGTGCATGGTCCCCTTATTGATGTATATACTTTATTCTTCCAAAGCATCGAGTCTGTTTTGTATGTCTATTTTGTTCATTAGAATTCTTCTTCTACCATCATTTAATACATTTTGAGACTATTTGATATATATATAAAGGGTAAGGTCCATTTACACAGCAAAACTCATTAGTTTTATATGAAAATATAGTCATTGGTTGAATGAATCTAAATGGATAGATGAAGTTCAAATTTTTTTTGAACGGTAGAAGTATGATTAAATAGCTGCAATCATACAACGAGATGACACATTCACCTCAATCTCATTAAAAAACCTCCTTACACCTAAAAAGAGCAAAAAGAGTATTCAAGTTAGTGTCGACAAAAAGGTTCTAACTATATTTGAACGAGACATCAAATACATAAACACAACTGAGCATAATCAGCCCCACAAAATATCAATACCCATTCAAACTAGTTCAAATGAACCAACCATGCCATCCAAAAGATCAAGCAGCAAATTGCTTCAATTCTGCGTAATCCACGCTTCCGCTTTGCCAAACAGACACCACAAACCAAAAGCACCAAAACTAAACTCACACACCAAAACTTCTAACACATCACACAAATCTCGCCTCTAAAAGCCTTACCTTACTGAGCCATATATACGTACCAACAACAAACAACAAATTAAACAGATTAGAGGTGAGCAAGCTAATCCCCGATTGCTACCATCCAACAACACAACACAAACCAACTAAACTACAAAGCAACAAAGAACGAAACAAGCAGTCCAACTCATCACACAAAACGAAAAATAAAACCTGAAGACCACAAGTGATCTTGTCAATCTTCAATCTTGCCTCAACTATATCTCAGCACAAAAGTTTGTAACCGCCAAAAATCTTGCGTCTTCATTAACAACCCCAGCATTACCACCAAATCAAACAAAAGAACCAACAACATCACAACACCAATAACAATTCTACTCAAATCCACAAGAAACATAAAAAAATCAGCAAGGCAATCAAAACAAAGCAAATAAGAACCACCACCACATCAAAACACAGCTCCGACACATATACCCAAGCTCACCGAAACAAAAATCTTAGGCACTGCGTTATGCGTTTACCTTTTCCCAGTACATAGGTGAAGATCAAGAGATACCTTCTTGTGTTAAAAAGTGTCTCAGTGTTGCTTTCTCTGTGGTTGAAGCATACCTTCCAATCCGCACTCTGACAAAAGTCTTTACAATTACCAGCTTCCTCACGAAGTAGCAAAGGGGAAGATCTGGGGTTGTAGATCCAGCTGACGGTGAGCAATCGGATTCAATTATCAATTTATAAGAAGATAACCACCTGGATGAATAGAAAACAGTGCAAGCCTCTAAGACTGCTGCAAACTCTGCTCTTAAGGATTCAACCCAGCCTATGACTTTGAGAACCGGATGAAACATTCCCCTTTATGGTCACGTAAAATACCTCAAATTTTATTATTCCATTTTCCGTGGAAACTAAAAACGAACAAAGATAATATTAATGCACAAAATTTTAATATCAGCTATCCATTTTAGATTCAATGATTATATTTTCATATGTTTTCCCGTATATTGTTTCAGGTTTATTGTATATATTATGTATAATATAATTATACGTCAATCATATTATGCATATATCTTAAAACTATTAATTAAGTTAAATAACTTAATTAATTATAATATTTATTTTTTATTATGCACATAATAATAGTTGTACACATCCGTTTTCGTCGGAGTTTTAAACATTCATTTTTTTATTTTAAACTATATATATTAATTATTAAATATTAAAATATTAAAATTATTTTCCATATATTTTTTTCAAGCCCAATTACATTAAATCGCCAAAATTAAACTCTAAACTCAATCAACCTAAATCTAACAAAAACCAAATCTACCCTAACCCTAATCTCACTACTATTGCCGCCGTCAAGGAGGAGAAGAGTCGTCACCGTCAGCTCAGGTCATCGAGCCACCACTGTTCAGCTATAGTTTACCTAACCAAAATCAAATCAAATCTAAAAAAAATATTTAAACCCCAGAAAATCCGGGCTTTTAGTGGTGGCTTTCATTTCTTCCACCAACTCTAATTAAACACACCACCAAATCTGAGGATAAGGAGAGATCACCATTGATAAAAAGTGGGGAGGGTTTTTGAAAAGAAATAGGAGCGTTGGAAAGAGACTTAAATGACTAGAAATCCGAGTTAAAAAAACGAGAGAAGAAAACATACGAAAAACCTTATCTTTCAGGTGAAGGACCCGTCGTTTCTTCATCGGAACGAAGAGCACCTCTTCATTAACCAAAGGTACACATTTTCTTTTAAATCTAAACATAAGATCAGTATTTGTGGGGTTTTCGGAGTTGGAGGGATTGATTTGGAGTTTTATGATTCGAAAGAGGGCTGTTTAGGGGTCGTGTAACCCTTAACTGGCGTTGATCCGACAACCATGGCCCTTTTTTCGGCCGTCTTTCCAAAGAAAAAGAAAAGAGAGGAGAGTGTTTTGAGGGAGACGGTTGGGGAGAAAGAAATAAGCAACTAGGGTTTCTAAACTAAAAGTATTACTCATTATGGGTTATTCATACCTTGGATCTTTTGTAACTTATAGATCTTCCTTTTTGATCATGTAATGAAGTCTATTTCTTTTTAGTTTGAGCCGTTTATTTTTCACACATTTTGTTTCAGTCCATTTTACTTATTGGTTATTGTTTATCTTGCATTTTGTTTTGATATTTTTTATTATAGTCCTACGTAATATTTGGGGTTTATTTAGTCATTTTATGTTTTTACACTTTAATCCTTATTCTTCACTATAACTTGTATTTTAACCTCTCATTTATATATAAGGCGTATATTAATGTATACATGTATTATGTTGCGTCTCCTTACATATACAACAACAACAATAAAACCCTATTCTCATATGTGATGGGTAAGAGCGAGGTAGGGTAGTAGGCTACCCCCATCGCCAGGTTGAGAGCAGCTTCCGTGAAAGACCTCCGATAGTAAGAAAAATTAAAAATAAAGATAAAATACAATGCATGTATAAATAAATAAATACATGGTTGAACAGTTTTCTTATGCAATCTTCATATACGTGTCTGAAATAAAAAGCAATCCTTGCGGAAAAAAAATCTCTTTCTTCGGCGGTGCATGAAAGGGGAAAAACGGGGGCATCCAAGAAAGAACCCAGATCTGAGATCCACTTTGACCAAAGCTTAAGATCTCCCAAAAATATATAAGAGAAAAACAAAGAATGAAGAATAAAAGTGATCGCGCTTTGTTATGCGAGAGAATCAATTGGAGACGGAACTAGGAAATTTGTGAAGATCTGGATGAGCAGATCCAAAAGCTAATACTAACAACAGAACAAACTGTAAAAGAGCAAAAAAACTTTCATGTCTCTTGCACGAGCATTTTCAAGAACATTCGCTATAGAATGGGTGTGAAAATTATTACTTTATAGAAGTAGTGTAATTCGATGATATTAGAATGAAAAGCGAACTTGAAATAAATCAGGTTTATTTTTGTGTTATTTTTTATTCGAAAAATTAATAAATTATTCAATGAAAAGGATTGTATTTTAATTTTTATTTGAATCTATAATTTCCACTGTCACAATAACGTATAAGCGATTAGGTATTAATTTTGGGCGTTGTGGGCTTGTTTACCCTTCCTCATGCGTAATTGACTCTCGAACCCTTCAAATTGAATCTTTGGCAAATGCAGACTAACTTTTTTCTTTAAAATGATTTTTCTAAAAATTGTTTAAAAGAAGTTTTAGGTATTCAACATATTTAACCCAAAAGTTGATGTCGACTCTAAATTAAATTTCATAAAAAATCTCAATTTTCTAAAATAAAATCATAATTATTTTAAAATTAATCTTTTAAAATTAAAATAATGGTTATGATAGCTTGGCGACTCGGTTGGGGACTGATTAAAGAGTCAGGTCGTTAATCTCTTATAAGTTGTTGTGGTAGTGGAAATTATAAGTTCGATTCCTTAATTAGCTTTTGATACTTTTATTCAATATTTGATTAATTTATTTTGGATTATTTATCAATAATTGCACTAATATTTTATTTCTTTGTTTTCAGTTTCATCAAATATTGTTCAAAAATGCTTATGTGTTTATCGTTTTGTTAGGTCAAAGGTTTGTATGCTTATGCTCATACACCACGCACATTACATGACATAAGCTCTATACCTAAGCTCCATCCCAAGTAAGTAGGGGTGAACGATTTGCTTTCATGGTGAATTTATTCCCGTATATATTTTAGCTATTAACCTCTGCGATACACGTCTTATGCCTTCGTGTGAATTTATTCCTCGTATGATATAGGGAAATGGGTCCCTTAAATTGAACTCATTTCGTTTGAGCTTGTAATAGTTAAGGATTAAGGGTTTGGTATCCCAATGGGACACCAACATCAAGGACAATTCGAGTACCCTTTCCCTTAGAGCTGAAACCATGAATGTAGTAGACCATAAAATGGTAACCCAAGCCAGAGCCATGTCAAACCTTTGTCTGTCAGCAGGTACTGAAATAAGCATACACAAAGGAGGAGAATATCTTTACTTTAAAGTTGTAGAATAAATTCTTTTTTTCTAATAGAAGTATGTGAATTAGATATTATGCGACACTTCTCGAAATAAAGCATGTCCGAGTAGGTTGTTATTTAGTAAGAGCATGTTTGATACCATGTTAGGTAGGTGTTATATTTATTTTTAAATAAGACTTTTATCTTCATTGGTTATCTCACTAGTACTAATTCTTTTCTTTTTATTTTATGTGTTACTTTTGATCTTTTTGCATTGCATTATCATGACATAATACAAATATGTTGATCAACAATTAACTACCTAAGTGAAAATTTTCATAAGGGGAAAAAGTTTTCAACCAAGTAGACACATACATACGTTGATGGATAATGAAAGCTTAGAGAACGAGGATGAAGCTCACTTGAAGATAAAACATCAAAATTGTCTGAGATAACGACATCAAATACTTGAAAGGTGATCCCTTGATCTGAGAATTGATGTAGTGGTAGAATCTTACCTGCGACCGTTCCACCTTTAATCATAAAAGATTAATGCATGCCTCCAGCACTGCAGGGGCATCAACTGAGATAGGTCATAGAGCATTTGAGGGGTATAGTTTTCGAGGATGAAACTTTGAGACAAAGTATATAACCACTTTAGACCCAACATCCAAGCAAAACCATGTCTGTAAAATGGATTATCTTGTAGTTATGAAGATTTTTATCTTTGATGAAAATTATTCTATAATATTCATCGTTGGGATTAACATATTTTTTATTTGCATTTTCATCTTTGTATTTTACATTACATTTATTTATGTATATTTTGCATGCATTAATCATGAAGACATGGTATTATAACATGTCAATATTGAATTAATAAATATTCTCTTTAAGAGGCATGAATGGTCAGTATCCAAGTTAATATGGCTAAGGTTGTAATATGTTTTGGATCTGAAGCTGTGAATATCCTAATGTGCATATATTCAGAAATGTGAATTGGGTAGATATTTATAGGGGAAACAAAGCCAGTATATGTTTTAAAAGGATATACTTGTGTTAAGGATATGGAAATGTAAGTTCCACTGTCAATATGCCTTTTGTTCCTAATATTTTTTGTGTTGTTAATTGGTTCTCTTTGTTTGGGGCTCTGCTACTATGCTTTTAACTGATCTATGAATTTCTTGTTTTTACCTTTATGATATCCTTTGTGTATTCTATTTTTCATGCATATAGCATCGCAAGCCTTTTTCAAAGTTAAATTACTATTAATGGTCTATTCCCGAGGATATTTAACTTATATATGACTTCTGTGGTTACCAGCTAATCGGTATGTAATGTAGTAATCTAATTTGCTAAATCAGTGCGATTGAGTAATTCCTGTTTCCATACTTTATGCATTATTATCGTCTTTCCCACCTTAGAGGGATTGTAATTGGAGTTCTATGTGCCAAGGTCAATATTTGAGTTGTACTATATTTCCCATTTAAAAGTTGTGAATTAAGCATGCTGATAAACATCTCAAGTATCAATACTATTCTTGTTCCTTATCACTTCATTTTCAATTTTCTTTTACAGATATACAATGAGCAAATAACAGATTTATTGGATCCATGTTGTCTAACATCGTGTTCCAGCATTTATCAAAGGGTCATTATTGGATCCATGAATGAGTGAAACTCGAGCTTATCACGGAAGATCAGTCCTGTTAACAAGGCAATTATTATTTAATCCAAAAACACATTGTCGCATCTTATAGACTGACACTGTTTTTGAAACTAGAACAGGCAGCTATGAGCAATCACTTATGCTTTGTTTAAGCTTCTATTTGACAATTTCCAAGGGATCAAGCTTGATAACCTTTTTCACTTAAGTCTCAGGAACTCAAAGATGAAATATGGAGCTTATGAGCAATCACCTATGCTTTTTCTCCTCAGACATAGGTAATTTATGCAACTATTTTTATTTACATGAATACTTGAATGGACTTGCTTAGTTTAAAGCTAAATATGTTACATTGATTGAATTAAAATTTTATAAGCTCAATTTTTAGTTACGTTTAGAACAGTTTATTACATTTTGGGCCCTTAGCTAAATGATGTTAGATTCTATATTGTTGAACTTTTGTGAAGGATTTCCAAATGAACAGTTTATTTGGATTTATTTGTAAAACCACATTAGTACTGATTGATTCCTGGAGTTATTCAGCTACCTGCGAACTCAAACTTGATGGTTGATGAAACATAACTAGAATCAGGAAGCCTTAACTCCATTGGAATTGAGAATACAAAGTTGATGAAAAATTTGATAAAGTTTCAAAAAGTAAGCTGTCACTTGGTTTGTTGAAACATGACTGGACCAAGGAAGGTGTTTTCATAAGTTTAATATGCATATTAGGAATGTGTTTGTTCTATATATTGCAACTAGTTTTAACTGTTACAATTATTTTCAATTATTTTTTGTGTACATGCCCGGATGGCGAGGGTATATTAGTATAACTTTATTATGCCGTGATATTTTGTATCGACATATGATTACAATATTTTTGATAACTTAATGTGAATATATTGTATGCAAATGGATTGCTTATATATAATATGATATATATATTTAGTATTATGAGGCATTAAATGTGATTTAGTTTGATTATTTGTCAATCTACAATATATATATATATATATATAATTTACGAAATACAATCACGGCTGAAATGTGCTTCAATGACACGCAATGTAAGTCATACATTCGTGTCATATATATATGACACACAAATGTCTGTCATCTTAATTTATGACGGGGGCTTCAATGACGCTCAATGAACGTCATAAATGAGCGTCATAAATGTGTGTCATAAATGCGCGTCATAGATTTATGACACACAGTTGCGTGTCATCTGAAATTCATGTCGGTGGCATCAACGACAGGCAAATGTGTGTCATCCGCACCCATAGATGACGCGCAATGCGCGCCATTAAAGGGGTTTTTTTCTACTAGTGAAGTTGTCACCGAAGAGA